AAAAGCAAATAGTGCCAAACATTTTTCTCTGAGGCAGAGACGACCGGTCCCCTCTCTACAGCAGCCAGCTAGGACCACGCGTGCTGGGGATCCCCAATGAACGCCTTGACTGCGTTCATACTTTGCGGCAGCGTTCACCAGCGACTATCAGCGTTTCGGGCGTGTGCCAGCGACTAGGAAAGTATAAGTATCGATCCAGAGAACGGCAGCGTCTACCAGCGTCCGCCAGCGACCATCAGCACCTCTAGGAAATAGGAACGTCCGTATATCGATCTAGCGTCTACCAGCATCTACCAGCGTCCGTCAGCGACCAGCGTCTCGCGGGGCTAGGAAAGTAGAGATATCGATCTGGCGTCTACCAGCGTCACCACCATCCACCAGTATCCGTGAGTACGGTATTGTGCATTAGTACGGTGCGATAGCACACGCTACAATTTCACGACACCTGAGCCACCTGTCTCCTCCGCCCTACTTTCCCATACTCTATCAGCAGTCTGCTACCCTTTCTCCCATACTCTCTACTCCTGGTCGCTGGTGGATGCTGCCATTCGCTAGATCGATATCTATACTTTCCTAGTCCCTCGCGACGCTGATGGTCGCTGGTGGACGCTAGTAGGCGCTGGTGGACGCTGCCATTCGCTAGATCGACACTTTCCTAGTCGCTGACGCTGACGGACGCTGGTGGACGCTGCCGCAATGTATGAACGCAGCTTAACGTTCCCTGATTGCTGCGAATGATCATCTGATTAGTCAGAACAAAAGGCAAATCTGGGCGGCAAGCCATCTAACCCTAGACCCTAGAGTAGCATAAGAGTTTTCATATCCACCTGAACGCTGTTGCAGGTGGTGTCAACGAGTACTGCGAAAAATTTGTCAAACAGTTTGAGCACTTCTGCACGGGTGCAGAACGTTCGGAATTCGCAAAAACCAGTTCGGAATTCTGCAAATCCTTCCGCGACAGCTGCCATCAGTCAACGACCTCGGCAATGTCGGCAGTTTCGTCGGCAATTTCTGAAGCTCCAACAAAACCGGGTTCTTCGGGGGCTCCAGAAGCTATGGAAACCATGGAGGCAGAAACAGAGGCTACTGAAGCTAAAGCAGTTGCAGAAGCTCCACCCCAAATAGTTGCTGAACTGCCAAAAAATGCTGCTACTGAAGCAGCTGAATCTGCTAAAACTGCAGATTTCAAAGGTGAGGCAAACTTCTCAAGGTCTTATAGTAGCTGCAGATTAGTTATGTAACCGTTGCAGTTGGTTAGAGAAGGGGTCGTATTTGGCTGCTGAGGAAGGGCGGGATCGTATTGGGGAGGAATTTCCCACGTGTAGAGTAGAGTAGGAGTTTTCGGCTAAGGAGGGGGGGGCATTTGACACTTGAGCTGCTTCCCGTTGTCGTGTTCATCGCTTTACTAGAGTTGACAAATAGTTTCTACAGTACTTTCTCGAGTAATATAGCTTCATGGCTTCACAAGATTACATAAACCTCATACTTGGACGTGAGAAGCAGCAAAGGCGCAAAATGCCCCCCCCCTGGCCGAACTGCGCCTAGTTTTCACATCCACTCAATCGCTGTTGCAGGTGGTGTCAACGAGTACTGCGAAAAATTTGCCAAACAGTTTGAGCACTTCTGCACGGGTGCAGAACGGTCGGAATTCGCAAAGAAAAGTTCGGAGTTCTGCAAGTCCTTCCGCGATAGCTGTCATCAATCAACGTCTTCGGCAATGTCGGCAATTTCTGAAGAATCGGCACAACCGGGTTCTTCCGAAGCTACGGAAACCATGGAATCTCCGAAATCGTCAGAAGGCATGCCGCCGGAAACCATGGAATCTCCGAAATCGTCAGAAGGCATGCTGCCGGAAACCATGGAATCTTCGAAATCGTCAAAAAGCATGCCGCTTTCTGTATCACCACCGGAACCTCCGCCAGCACCAAAAAGCCCCGAGTCGCCAGGCTGCGTCGAGCAAAGAGCGTATGGGCCTAAACACGTACCGTCTACACTGATTACTGCTCACCTATAGAATCATTTTCAGTGGAACACCTGAAGAAATCGATGACACTGAAGAGCTTCCTGATTCGGAAGAACATGGGGCAGGTGCACAAAGCAGTACTGAACAGGGAAAGCAGGACAAGGAGTCCAGTATGGTAAGGGAGATTATGTGCTCGTCTCTCCGTCCATGTATCTCTCCATTGTCCTTTTGTCTCCCTACTATTCCTAACTTCGCCTTATCTCTCCATTTTACTCTATCTCTCTTCTTAGGTACAGCTCTCCAGTCCTTCCCACTTTTCCTCTGTCCCCTCTGCCCCATTTACCACCCTAGCTCTACCTGTTTCTCTCAACCGGGAGACGGGCAAGAAATCGTAAATTGCCGCATCGTCGCGCGCGGCAATGGGTGCGACGTTTCCTTAATTTGCGCTACCCTTTCAATTGAAGCTTCGGAGATAAGGACATGATAGAGACTAATGTCTATTTTTGGTCATAAATTGTCTATTCTCGACCAATCTCTGAAATCGTCGTCATTAGCAGGCGCGACGTCGCACGCGAGGACCACCGCGGCGAATTACAATTCCCTTGCCACACCCTCTTCTGAATCTTCAGTTTGTCCAGTTCTTTCTCTTTCTCTGCCTTTCTATCCTTCACACAATGTCTACCTGCCTGCCTGTTTCAGCCTTACTTCTTTCCACCATAATCTTTTTCTTCCTCTTCTCTCTCTAGTATCTCTTTCCACAGTACTCCCTCTCTCTTTGTCTTCTCTCTCTCTCTCTCTCTAGCAATCTATCTCTTAGTGAGGGTCCTCCCATTCTCTACCTTCTCGGTAATCTGATCCTCTCTGGGTTTACCTTACTCCTTTTCGCTCTTCCTCAGTTTCTCCGCTTCTGCCATTTTTACTTATTAATCTTAAATCGTTCGCCTTTATCTTGCACTTCACAATATCCTTAATTTACAGTGTTTTTCGTTGCAGACGTGGGAGCGTGTCAGGGGCGGGGTTTGACGCGGCGCTAGCCCGCTTTCCACCAATAGTAAAAGCGGGCAAGCAACAACAACTGGTGGAAAACGGGCTGAAGCCGTTGCGTAGCGGGCAGCGCAAGCTCCCTGACACGGCACAGCAACTGTAGCGAACAAGACTGCATACTGTACCTTACCATTTCACATGCCCTTCCCTTACCCGCTTCTGCATTTTTCATGCTTTTACAGCTACTTTTCTATACTTTCCTTCCTTCCACTTCTTTCTCTGTCCTTCTTCTTAACACTCGTGTGTCTCTACTTCGCCTTCTTCTTTACTCCTAGGCCTCTGTTTTCGTTCCTCCTCTTTCTTTCCTTCGCTTTATGAGCGTCTTTCTCTTCCCGTGCCATCTCCAAAGCTCACATCCATTATCTGACTATCTCCCGTTCGTCTCCAACCGTACTTCTCAGACTGCGGATAGTTGAAGGCACAGTCTCAGCTTTAATATCTTTACCGTAGCTAAAAAAATTTCTTTGCAGGATCCTAAAGTACAGAAATACTGTGACGATTTCTCGGAGAACTATAACTTCTATTGTGCCGGTGATCAGTCGTCAGGACACGAGAAATTTTGCCGATCATTCCGTACCAATTGCCCGCATAAGATCAACTCGTAGGTAGCACGGCCTAGTGGTGACAGACAACTAGCAGTAGAATAGCTCAGATGGGACCTGTGAGATTGCATCCGCCATGGATTGCAATGTTCATCGCTTCCTAGATCGACTTACTCTATTGACGGCTTAACTGATCTCATGCTAGAAAATTCAGTTATTCATCAGTTTCCTTGAATATTCTCTGCATGCTATTATGTTCTATTTGTTCATTTTCCAGAATATCCTATGTTTCTCAAAGCCATCGTCGGGGATTGTCGGATGGGCGGATCAGAAAACGACGCTCCGCCTTTTATGACGGCTGAGAGGAGGGAAGGGAAGAGGCGCGCCAATGACGTCGTTTTCCGGCTCCCCCCATCCAACAATCAGTGGTGTTTTGAACGCATGTAACGTGGATCTCGTTGTACAAAGTATCGTTTACGTTTCAAATAAAATCGTTTTTAGACTGAAATCGTCGGCATCGTTTCTTGGAGGAAATGATAAGGTACGAGTAGGCTGGCTGTAGATTTCTAGGATAGTTGTAGACTAGTTAGCTACTTAATGAAAGTTCAGTGTGGTGACGTCATCAATGAGGCCCAAAATGAGGAGCTGATCGGCTTGGAAAGGGAGTTTTTTACTGGTTCATGTCAATTAGCAGGACTCTATTTTGTGAGATCTGCAAACCCTAGGTGTGAACTGGTACAAGTAAACTACTTCAGAGACAGGAACTCAGAAGTCTCGACAATTGTAGCCTGTACAAGCTCCTCTGAATCATTATGCACCCCCACCAAACCGAACTACGCCAGAATGAAAAAATAGGAAGGAGAAATATGGAGAAGGTAGTCCAATGGATTCAAATCAAGCTGTACCGCAAATTGAGCGTAAAAGACTTCAGCGTTCGGTAAACTAAGATGTTGCGTAGTGTACCGTTACGGCAACTTCCGGAGTGTCAGAAGCGAACGGAAATACGGGCGGGGGGGGCCTTACTGTCGAAATCAGCGCGGGGGCATTATTCGTCGCTGGCCCAGACGGAAAGTTCTTTTGGTTAGTTAGAAGCTCCCTTTCAGACGCCGCATATATACCCACGCGCAGTTAGAGGGGGGGCATTTTGTCTTCTGCCACTTTCCATAGACTGACGAGCCATCGGGAGCCTTTGAAAACTTAGTAGGTTTTATTAATGGTGCGGGATGAAGTTCTCTAGCTTTCAGAAGAAGTTTACAAGGTCTCTCTTGAGTGAGACCTATGCTAACGAACTGGTGAAACAAACGAAGCGTGCAAATGCCTCCCCCCTCCCCGTCGCCGAAACAGCGCCGTATACCGCCCTATCAACAGGCCAGACACGTGGTCAATTTTACTGGTTCTGATAGGCGCCGATGGGCAGTGGAGCGCGGCGAGGGGGAATAAGAGTCGTTCTCAGGACGTGCAGCTGCCACGAAGTAGTGCCGTCATTTGTGATCATGTTGACCAAGTCATTATGCTCTTAAAGACAGCCGGCTGCTGAGGGGGCAAGGATTGGAGCTGCAGCATAGGCGCCTTTTCCCCTCGATAGATACCATTTTGCATCTTCAGACCAAAAGGCGAAAAGGCCTCACCATGGCACGGTTTAAATTCAATGCCCCTCACTCTCTCATTTGCAGGATAGTGTCTGGACGCCCTTACACTTTCTTCCGAAGATAACCACATTTGGTCCCAAAGGTTTACCCCTCCCCCTCCCTGGAGGAGCGGGCAAATGCGTCGACAGCGTCCCGCTAGCGACTCTTGTCGAATGTGGAGTTATAGGCCGCTATCTATAGGATTTGTTATCAGAAATCTCCTAATGGATCCTGCCTCACAAATCTTTGATTTCTAAAGGCGTCACCTTGGAACGCTACAACGAGGCGCAGATTATCTGTCGGTAATTGGGAAACCCCCATAAGAGCAATGAGATCGAAATTCACCCTGACGGCAAAACGGGCGAGGGAACACTACAATGTTCCTGGTTAGAAGGTCTGAGGTGGAAGGCGGCGTTATATGCGTGGCATCGCGTCCACCACATTTGCACCAGTAACCTAACTGCTATGACCAACAAGATAATGATCACGCAGTCAGCTAGGGAAGTGACGCCACGCGCCGACTCAGTCCCGCGCAGTCGTCGCAAATAAGCTCTTATTATTTCAGTCAAGACACGGGTATCTTTCGGTAGGAAACTAGCCGCCGCCGCAACAGATCGCGACGAGGGGGGGGGCATTTTGCACTTCCACTGCTTCACTACTTCCGGTTTACAAGTCTCACTCTGGTGAAACTTGTGAACTGTTATGAAGCTGGAGCAAGCTCGCCATTGACGTGAGACGTCGTCAAAACTCCAGTAAAGAGCTATCAAATGGGGTGCACACATGACGCGGAAGCAAAATTACCCCCACTTCCGTCGGCCGAGCTGCTGGGCCTGGCCGCCATTTAGTACGAAAATCCCAAGCCATTGGAACACAGTGACCTAGACAATTTGATCTCTGAAGTCTTACTCATTAGTGCAAACTTTTTAGAACTATTTTTGGATGTTACTATTACTTCATTACTGCGCACTTTAAACATGTTCCCAGTTGTTTTCAGTGCATTACAGTTAGGTATATTTGGACGAGCCACGTGAACAACTGACGTCAGTGTTCCCTCACGCTATCCGTTCCCATGCCCTTGAAGTTATCGTTTCTAACTGACACCCCCCCCCCCCCCCCGCCCCCCTTTGACAGCGGAGCAAAGGAGCTGTTCGCTTCGAAATGAAGTTAAATTTCTGATTTAATTTATTTAATTTTTTATATTCGCAATACTAATCTAACGGAACCACGAGGGAGCACCTGGGGTTGACTAGTGGCTCTTTTGAATCAGGGTACATCGTTTTTTCCCAAACAGGGGGTCGTATTTGGCCAGCCAGGAGAGGGGGGGGTCGTATTTGGGCTGGGAAAAATTTATTTTGATAGCTGATTTTTCTCGCTTCACAGACGTTGTAAAGGGGGGGGTTCAACTGTACTTGCTGGAAGGCGGGCGGGGGGGTCGTATTCACTTTCGGGCGATTTCTAGGAGTGGTGGGGAGTGGTGGTGACTTTTCGATGATTTCCTGTTTCATATAATACCCGCCGGCCGCATCTCAGGCAAATTTTTACGCAAAAAAGTAGTCGGAACGTTTTTGGGAAATTTCGGAAGAAGTGGCAGGAAGTTGGGAAAAGTCTGAAAATTGGTAGAAGGGGGGAGTCGTATTGTCTCCGGCTTTTCCTGTTTCACATGTGCTTTAACCCCCCCCCCCTCCTGCTCGACGGCTCGATTTGATGAGCAGCGGACAGAGGCGCCGGAAGGGGCGGGGGGGGATCGTACAACCACCCCCCCCCAAAAAAAAAAAGGGAGGTCGATCATATGGACTGGACTAAATCCCCAACCCAAGATGTGCTCCGCTTTGGATGCGACCTGCCAGGATTCCACTTTGGATCACGATCGGACTACCAATGACTTGGTCTGAATGAGTGCTAAGAAGTGTATGTTTACCCTCCCGAATAGTCTAATACCCAAGCTTGCCCACATGATGGAAGGCTTCGTTGACCCGATTAAGAGCATCTTTGTGATCTGACCCTTATCCATCTGTGTGCATATGAAAGGCGGGCAAATAATGAATGAATGAATAAATCAAAACCTGCATGCATTACGCATAAAACATGGATATATGGAAGCGAACCATTTTTTCCCAACGACACTACTTATTTACGCGAACTACCCTCACTTTTCCTCTATGCGGTTGGGATCATTCCATAGGGCACCCTATGCCCTGCAAAAAACAAGAGAGCTCCTAAATATCAACATAAGACACGCGAAGGCACGCTCGCCATTAATTACACTGGTGTGCAAAACTTAGGGACGAGATGGATAAAGTAACATAAAACACTAATGACTGGGTGGAAGTAAATGAAAGTGTGGGAGCATGTTGCCACTCGCCTAAGGGATATGCACAGGAAGCTAGACTTTTCTCGGTGGAAGAAGAGCTTGATAAAGTGCCAAATGTACGGCGCCGACCGCGCAAATCGAGGCAGTCTATGGGTATGAAAAAAAATTTTTTTCTCAATCAACGAGTAGCTGCAAAGAACTGTGGTAGTATCCTTCGATACATCATGTCCCGAAGAGAGCATCTGGATGACTTCACTCGAGGAAGGATCATAGGGAAACTCGAAGAAGGTCGAACCATGACGAGTGTAGCCCAGGAGTTCGGTATCGCTCACAGCGTTGTTTCACGTGCATGGAGAGCGTTCCAACCTTTTGGTACTGCTGCCCGAAGACGAGGAGGTGGCCGACCAAGGACAACTACACCAAGGGACGACCGCTACATTGTGCAGCAGGCAAGAAGAGATCCTCGTCAGTCGGCTTCGGCCTATCAGCCCAACGGACGTTTAACAGGAGTCTAGGGCAAGCCATCTCACGCCCCACATACAGCTGGCAACAAGGACGACTCGCATGGTCGGTAGTCTCTTCGCCCAGACGACCGTTACGTTCGTTCCTTTTGATTCCTTCGGCGATCGGCGACCGTTTACGGTGGTGCCAGGAGCATGGCGAATGGACCGATGAGGAATGGAGCCGTGTGCTCTTTTCGGATGAGAGCAGGTTCAGTCTGAGCAGTGAATTCTGGACGCACCCTCATATAGCGAGAGGTGGGAACACGCAACTCCCCCGGAAACATTGTCGAACCCTTGTCGTACTGGTGTCAAGTTTTGTTTGTTATGGTATGGGGAGGCATCATGTTGCATGGCCGTACTGACCTCCAGATTTTTGAGCATGGAACCCTCACCAGTCAGCGTTACTGCGACGAGGTTCTCCTACATCATGTCCGTCTTTTCAGAGCTGCAATCGGCCCTGACTTCATTTTCATGGATGACAATGCGCGACCGCATCGAACAGCACAGGTGGAGGAGCTTCTAGAACGAGAGGATATCCGGCGAATGGAGTGGCCCGCCCGTTCCCCCGACCTAAATCCCATCGAGCACGTGTGGGATGCACTGGGTAGACGCATTGCAGCA